AATTTACTACTATATGCACACATGTGTGTTGATCACTTAGTTCCATTTTATTTTTATTTATTTATTTTTTGAGACAGAGCCTCAAGCTGTCACCCTGGGTAGAGTGCTGTGGCATCACAGCTCATAGCAACCTCCAACTCCTGGGCTTGAGCGATTCTTTTACCTCAGTCTCCCAAGTAGCTGGGACTACAAGTGCCTGCCACAATGCCCAGCTATTTTTTGGTTGTAGTTGTCATTGTTGTTTGGCAGGCCCAGTCTGGATTCGGACCCGCCTGCTGTGGTGTATGTGACTGGCGCTCTAGCAGCTGAGGTACAGGCCCTGAGCCCTAATTCCATTGTTTTTTGAGAGAGGAATTTTTTTCTTTTTTTAAATAAATCATAGCTGTGTACATTAATACAGTCATGGAGTACAGTGTGATGGTTTTATATGCAATTTGAAATATTTTCACCAAACTGGTTAACATAGCCTTCATGGCATTTTCTTAGTTATTGCGTTGAGACATTTATATTCTACATTTAGAAAGATTCACATGTACCCTTGTAAAATGGACCATAGGTGTGGTCCCATCAATCACCCTCCCTCCACCCTTCCTCCCCCCTCTCCAGCCCTCCCTCTCCCTCTTCCCCATGTTCTTGGTCTATGATTGGGCTACAGCTTTCATATTATACTTTTTCTTCCATTCCTGAGATACTTGCTAAGAAGAATATGTTCCAGCTCCATCCATGTAAACATGAAGGAGGTAAAGTCTCCATCTTTCTTTAAGGTTGCATAATATTCCATGATATACATATACCACAATTTATTGATCCATTCGTGGATCAGTGGGCACTTGGGCTTCTTCCATGATTTAACAATTATGAATTGGGCTGCAATAAACATTCTAGTACAAATATCTTTGTTGTAATGTGATTTTTTGTCTTCTGGATATATACCTAGTAGAGGAATTATAGGATCAAATGGCAGGTCTATTTTTAGTTCTCTAAGTGACTCCAAACATCTTTCCAAAAGGGACATATTAGTTTGTATTCCCACCAGCAGTATAGAAATGTTCCCTTTTCTCCACATCCACGCCAGCATCTCTGGTTTTGGGATTTTGTGATGTGGGCTAATCTTACTGGAGTTAGATGATATCTCAAAATAGTTTTGATTTTCATTTCTCTGATGACTAATGATGATGAGCATTTTTTCATATGTCTGTAGGCCATACGCTTGTCTTCTTCAGAGAAGTTTCTCTTCAAGTCCCTTGCCTACCCTGAGATGAGATCACTTGTTCTTTTCTTGCTAATACGCTTGAGTTCTCTGTGGATTCTGGTTTTAAACCTTTCTCAGATACATAATCTGCAAATATCTTCTCCCATTCTGAGAGCTGTCTGCTTCCTTTACTTACTGTGTTCTTGGCTGTGCAGAAGCTTTTTAGTTTGATCAGGTTCCAGTAGTGTATTTTTGATGTGGCTTCGATTGCCCGAGGGGTCCTCCTCATAAAATTTTCACCCAGGCCGATTTCTTCAAGTGTTTTCCCTGCACTTTTTTTCTAGCATTTTTATAGTTTCATGTCTTAAGTTTAAATCTTTAATCCAATGAGAGTATCTTAGTTAATGGTGAAAGGTGTGGGTCCAGTTTAAATCTTCTACAAGTCGCCCCCCAGTTTGCCCAGCACTATTTGTTAAATAGGGAATCTTTTCCCCACTCAGTGTTTTTAATTGGCTTATCATAGATCAGGTAACGGGAAGTAGCTGGGTTCATCTCTTGGTTCTCTATTCTGTTCCATACATCTACCTCTCTGTTTTTGTGCCAGTACCATGCTGTTTTATCACTATTGATTTATAGTATA